TGACATTTTATTTAAAAATGTATTTTATAATCTATATTGAATATATATTCTTTATAGTAAATGTTCAATATATTTAAATACATTTAAATGTGTATATTCGGATCACTTCAAGCTCAAAGTTCAGCCCTTTGCACCAGAAAGGGGCGTGTTTTCGCTGACAACTGGGCGGGGCTTAGATGATGTCATCGGAGTAAACAGAAAAGATGGCGACGCCATACACGGGAGATCGGGTTTTAGGGACAAACGCTGTTATTTCAGAGAGTTTCGCCAAACGGTTAACCGATTTACCGGCGGAATTATTAGAGCATATATTGTGCTTCCGCGTTCTAAACCATATCGACATTTGCAACGTTTCCTGCACGTGCAAGAGGCTGCATGACGTGTGCCATGGCAGGGGAAAGGTCTGGGCGCATCAGTACAAACTCAGGTGGCATAAATTAAAAACATTTCTAAAGCTTGATACCTCCATCGACCTCCAGTTTATCAAACCATAAGAAATGTGTTTGATCCCCGATAGGCGGTTTAAGACGTGCATTCAGCTGTCAGGTCGTGTTCTCATTCTGCTGATGCACCAAATCTGTCCTGTGTGCACATGCAGAGATGCATAATATGTGATAATTCATTTGTATAGGCTCGCCTCCTATATGTTGGGGGGGAGACTAAATGCACTTATAATTGTTGATAATGTTAAGTGACATTGAACACAGAAATGCATGATATTCTGATGTGCTCATAATAAATTATAGAAATTAACTCCTTAACTGTCACTCACATTTTTGAACACAGACGTGAAAGTGCACGATCCAAACTTACATTTGTATAACTCATGAACGAAAACATTTTGTAACATGATATTGATGTACCATTTTCATGGTAATGCAGTGTTTGATTTTAAAATGGGTTTCAAAGGATGAATTTTGAGATTTTAAGTTTTCAATTGATATATAATTTCTGATGATTTCTAAAGTGTGATAGAGAAAAAGGCAACAAAGAAGACTTTTTTTGACAAAGGTCAGAACTCCTGTTATGATGTAGATTTTTGAGGTGCACTCTTGTCAAAAATGTATCTATTACTTTTCCTACATAATTTTTAACAAAAACATTGGTAAAATATCTATTTAGGAGTCTTAGACCTTTCCAACGATATATAGTTTGTCATGATTAGATTAGGATTTCATTGTAGTATAGTGAAGTAAACTTAGGCGTCCCACAGAGGGGACGGGTGACAGTTAAAGGGTTTTAAAAACATAAGTTAACATGAGCTTCTTTAAATAGAAGTATGGTTGTAAGATTATTACATTTAGAGTTATTATAGTAACAACAACTACTTACTCTTGTGTTTTTTAGCATATACTTGTAAATTACAGCCTTTAGGTAGATTTTGCATAAAACTGAATTGACAAAATGTACCCTCTACTAAAGTATTTAAGGTTTTTTTTTATTTTTATAAGACACACAACATTACACTAGCCCCATTTAAGGAATAGGTTTAACATATTTGCCATCCCCCTTTTGCAAGTTCAAACATTATTGTTGTGTCATTAATATTTTAGGTGGCCCAGGCTGCAGAGATTTTATCAGCAAAATGAGTCATACGATTGGCTGAAAGAATTCAAAACCCGGCACGTGGTTGGTCAACAGATAAGAAGAACAGTAGAGTCTATTTCCAAGAGGTTCTTCACAGAAGTTGTGAGTGGCTTTAAAAGAGACTCAATTACAAAGCAGTTTATCATTTTCTCAAAAATTGTAATCTTTTTGGTATGGTCATTACGCTACGGTTGGATGGGTATATTTGTACGGTAAGTTGGATTGAATAATTTGCTTTAGTCACTAACCCAGAGACCTGTAACTCAGCCTTGCGTTGGTCAGGTTCTTGGAGACAGCTTTGCGGAAATCGATTCTCTTGGTGCTCCAGAACACTTCTGTGAGGATGAGCTGCTTGGCATTTTGAACTCGGACAAAAGGTTAGAAAGGAGCTCACAATTATGTTATTTTATTTTCCTCTTAACACTTAATGGTTTAACTGAATTAATGCATTTCCTTCTTTCCCAGGAAATGTTTGACACTTAAGTACTATGCGAAGAAAATCCTGTACTTCCTCCGGCAGCAGAACATTCTGAGGAATTTGAAGGTTTTCCTTGAGAGACCACCAGAACAACAATCAGCCCTTGAAGGTAAGCTGATGTCTCACAAAAGAAGAAATGTTTTATTTCTTATTAAAAGAATAATTCACCCAAAAATTCAAATTTGCTGAAAATTGAGCAGATTTGGAGAAATTTAGCATTACATCACCAATGGATCCTCTGCAGTGAATGGGTGCCGTCAGAATGAGTGTCTAAACAGCTGATAAGTGAAAGTGACATGTGGCCAAGTATGATGACCCATACTCGGAATTAGTGCTCTGCATTTATCCCATCCAAAGTGCACACACACAGCAGTGAACACACACCATGAATACACACCCGGAGCAGTGGGCAGCCATTTTTGCTGCGGCGCCCGGGGAGCAGTTGGATATTGAAGGTGGAAGAGAGCGCTGGTTACAAGTCAAGACTCTCTAACCATTAGGCCACGACTTCCCCGACTGATAAAAACATCAGAATAATCCACAAGCGATCCACACGACTCCAGTCCATCAGTTAAACATCTTGTGAAGTGAAAAGCTGCATGTTTGTAAGAAACAACTTTTGGGTGAACTATTCCTTTAATGGAAAAATGGAAAATAATTACTTCATAATGCTTTACCTTACCAGCGACAAGGCCAAATGATAATATCTGTTGTGCTGTAATAGTCATCATATATAATAATCATAGCTCAAATACATGTATGATGAATTTGAAACATGTATGCTGCATACTGAGCTTTGTAATATTATCAAAAATTTTCATACACATCACAGTATTCGCAATGAAATTTGCCAGTGTGCACAGGAAAGGTCGACTCCTCACTATATTATTATGGATGATTGAGGTTCAACAATGTTTAGATCAGTGATTTACATCAAATAACACACGTCCGTTTGTTTGATCTCCAATTCCAGGTGCTGTTTTGATCGATCAGTATTGCAACCCTCTGGCTGATATCACTCTTGAGAGCATATCTGCGCAGATAGAAGAAATCACTGACAAGGTGAAGAAGTATCTACGAGTAAAAAGTGCCACACACCCAAGTCTACGAGCCAGTCAAGGTCAGTGCGCAAGAAGAGATCCGGAAAATTCAATTTACTATTCTCATGAGGTCTATTACTCAGACCTGTGTAGCCAGGCTTATGTTCTCCCCGGTGTCCGATAAAAGCTTTCAGCTTGATGTCAAGAAAATAAATGTCTTGAAGGTCTCTTAGTTGAATTTTCAACATCGGCTTTGGACTGCATTGGGCAACCACAATAGCATTGTTGTTCTTAAAGCTGTAGCATCCAACATGTGTCTTCACTGGAATGTTTTTCCAGGTGACTGCTTTGTTCTGGAAAACCTGGAGTTTCAAAGGCAAGTCATATGTGCTCTGAATGCTGTGCTGTATGACCAGCTGCAGTACAAGGGCAATGAGCGTGACTACTACAATCCACTCAACTCATACATACATCAGGTATCATATCATATCATAGATATCATAAGTTAGGCAGGTCTGGATAACCAGTGTCAGGGGCAATGCATTATATAATTATGTAACATGCATTACATAAACAAATTAATTTTTTCAAGTAACGTGTTTTTTTATTATTATTATTTTTGTGAAATAAGTAACATTACTAATATATATATATATATATATACACAATTTATTCAAAGAATACAGCTGTAAGCATTTTATGATTTGTTATAGGATGAGTAATTTAATTTTAAATGTCATTTAATTTAAACTTTTCATATAGTTTATTTTTGTATTATTTGATGAATGGCAAGTTAATGGTAAAACAGTGTTTATTTGAAATAAAAGTTTTTTTTGTAACAATGGAAATCTTTACTGTCACTTTTGACCAATTTAATGTGTCCCTGCTGAATAAAAGTATTAATTCCTTTAAAAAATTCTACTGACCTCAAACTTTGAATGTTAGTGCATTTGGGGCTGATAAGCACTTATTTAAAGCAAAATCAAAAATATTTTATATATAAGAAAAAACACTTTTGATACAAAAACAAATCCACAAAACACTAAAGTAATTTAACCTGTTACTATTTAATTGTGTCCATATAATTGTGCTAAAAGTAAAAAAAAAAAAAAAAAAAAAAATTGTTTAACACATTCTATTGCAGTCTGTCAGAATGAAATTACATAGCAAACCCCAGTCAGTTTCAAGTCAAATTTATTGTTATAGCTCTGTTTACAATACACATTGTTACAAAAATAATGATGTTAATGTTTATGATATCTTCATATCTCATTGCCACATTTAGAGCTGTGAAATAATGTAGTTTACATTTTGCAGTGATACAAGCAATCAAGCAGTTGAGATTTGCTTTATAGTAGCCTATATATTGCCCTGTGTGAGTATACTGTGTACATAAAAAGCGGATAAAGTTGGACATATATTTCCAACTTTATATAAAGTGCTGGACGACAATATCATTTTTATTTTGCATCCAAGATTTGCTACATAGTATATGTGAACATACTGTTAAGTAGGATGTACTATATATCCAACTTATCGCCGAGCAATAATATAGTTTACGTTTTCTGACAATATAACAATATAGCTGTAATCTCAAACAATAGTGCTGTGCTTGCATTAAAAATAAAACAACAATGTAAGTTGACTAATGAGTTGTTTTGCAGGAGTGAGGACATCTACGACTATGTATACATTGACACGTTTGGGAAAGGAAAGCAGCTGGCTGCTAAAGAGTGTGAGAATCTGATCCGACACCAGGTGGGAGCAGATTACTACAGCGCTATAAGCACCGGCGAGCTGCTGCTGCGGATGGTGGGAAACCTACTTAACATCGGCAAAAGAGGGTGAGAATCACACATGCATTTTGATTACTTTAGATGAGTCAGTGTGTTGTGAAATGTTGTTTATATTCATATTGTTGTACTGTTGTCTAATGATCGTTTCCTTAAAGCTCTGCACTTAAAGTTTTACTGATAATGAAGGAGGTGTTTAAAAGACTTGTTTCATGCTGCTTGTATGCTCATTAGTAAGCCAGTCAGGGAATTCTGCAGTTGTAGACAGTGTTTTATGTAAATAAAATCCATTTTCTTGGCTGTCAGCTGAAGTTGTCAGACTCACGTTTGTTACAAAATGTGCTTGCATTTGTGTTTTGTCTAGGGAAGGGAATGAGAAATCATATCAGCTCTTGCGGGACTCGCTGGATCTCTACCTCACTATCAACCCTGATAATGTGCAGTATCTTCTGCTGCAAGCCCGTCTCTACTTCCACCTGGGCATCTGGCCTGAGAAAGTGAGTTCAATCACACAGACATTTTTTTTATTAAAGAATAGTCAAAAAGGTAAAATCTCTCTGGCACAGTGGTTGATCATAAGGATGCTAGATTGAATTCGTCCAATGTTGAGATACTATTATAGTTTTTTTTATATTTTGAATGATTTTTTATTGTTAAATTTTCCATTCCATTTTAAAGGGGTCATATGGTGTTGCTAAAAAGAACATTATTTTGTGTATTTGGTGTAATGAAATGTGTTTATGTGGTTTAAGGTTCAAAAAACACATTATTTTCCACATACTGTACATTATTGTTTCTCCTCTATGCCCCGGACGTAGACGTGGGGACGTGTTAGAACGAGCCGTTTTAGGTAGGCGTGGTTGACTCGTAACTTTTATAAAGAATATCTCTTTGGATTTGAGACTTTAATCTTTGCAACTTTACAGATCTTTACAGATCTCAATTTTTTTATTGTAATTTCTTTCCTTTTATTTCAATTCATGAATAATTTAAGTAAGTAATGAGTGGTTATAATTAAATTTTAGTTTTAGTTAACTATAATAACCCTGAATTCATATTTCATCATTTCCAAACCCTTTCCTGCTTTCTGTTCCAATACTTTCCTATCACTCTCCATTCTGCTATTCCATATTTAAATATAAAGGTGGTGACTTCTTACACTAGTAACACAAGTATAAAAGAAGATAATTGCTATTTTGAAGGTAGATACTGTTTGCTCCATGTACAACTGGTACTAAATAGCACCCTGGTTACACTGCAAATAGTAATAGGTACTATTCACAAAGAGTGCAAACAAAAGTAATATGCTATTTTTACTATATTACACCGCCCTGCATCATATTTGCTGAATGACATCCGATGCTTGTTTTCTTACTAACTTTAGGATGCTGATTCCAAAAATAGTGCCTGTTTAGCTCTAGCATGTCACACTTTTTCACAAACTGACTATGTAAACAAAATAAAAACATGGGGTCTCTCGATGGGTTTTAAACTTTTTGTCACATAGAACACTTTGACACCTAACAGCAACAGACTCATAAGGGAGTGTATATGTTGCATTTGCATTGAAAATCTGGTGAATATTGCAGTTAAACCACAAAATACGAACTGTATAATCAAGGCTAATAAGTGAATTTCATCATCATGTCTATGTAAATATTCTCATGGGACAAAAGTATAACCACTGTGTTTGTTTGATTTCTCTCTCTCTCTCTCTCTGTCTCTCTCTATCTCAGGTGTTGGATATTCTACAGCATATCCAGGCTCTAGACCCGACTCAGCACGGAGCGGTCGGGTATCTGGTGCAGCATACGCTCGAGCACATCCAGCATAAGAGGCACCCGGTAGAGCCGGAGGTGAAGAGACGCAGCGCGCCTGAGCACAGGGATGTACAGTACTCTGTAGGCCTCATCATGAAACATAAGAGGTGGGTTCCTGTTTGTGTGAGTGGTAAACTTATGAACTACATGGAATATGAACCTGAGAGCAGCCAGGGAAACATCTATAAAAAGAAGTTATGCTAATTTGTAACTAATAATAATAAACACCTGTCGTTACTACATTTCTCCAGGTGGATCTCATATTGATGATGCAAACATACTACAGTTCTGGGCCAAATAATACAAAGTTAAATCAGACTTTTATTGGCACAGGATGGCAATGCAATCTTGATTTCAAACCAAAAAGGTTTAATGCTTTGCATAACTTTAGGTAGACTGTAGATGAACCATGCGTTTATATTTAATATTTGTGACCCTGGACCACCAAACCAGTCATAAGGGTCAATTGTTTGAAATTGAGATTTATACATCGTATGGATAAATAAGCTTTCCACTGATGTATGGTTTGTTAGGATAGAACAATATTTGGCTGAGATGCAACTATTTGAAAATCTGGAATCTGAGGGTGCAAAAAAAATCACAATATTGAGAAAATCGCCTTTAAAGGAACACTCCACTATTTTTGAAAATAGGCTCATTTTCCAACTCCCCTTGAGTTACAACAGTTGAGTTTTACCATTTTTGAATCCATTCAGCCGATCTCTGGGTCTGGCGGTAGCACTTTTAGCTGTAGCTTAGCATAGATCATTGAATCTGATTAGAACGTTAGCATCTCGCTCAAAAATGACCAAAGAGTTTCAATATTTTTCCTATTTAAAACTTGATTCTTCTGTAGTTACATCGTGTACTAAGACCGACGGAAAATGAAAAGTTGCGATTTTTTGCTGCCGTACCATGGGTGCAGCAGGCGCAATGATATTACGCAGTGCCTGAAAATAGTCCCCAGCTAGGTAACTTCCAATAAGCCTATTTTCAGGCGCTGCGTAATATCATTGCACCTGCTGCACCCATGGTACGGCAGCAAAGTTCCTTGATTATTACGCCGGAATGAGAGTATAGTTCCTAGCCATATCGGCCTAGAAAATCACTACTTTTCATTTTCCGTCGGTCTTAGTATACGATGTAACTACAGAAGGGTCAAGTTTTAAACAGGAGAAATATAGAAACTCTTTGGTCATTTTTGAGCGAGATGCTAACGGTCTAATCAGATTCAATGATCTATGCTAAGCTACAGCTAAAAGTGCTACCGTCAGACCCGGAGATCGGCTGAATGGATTCGAAAATGGTCAAACTCAACTGTTTAACTCTAGGGGAGTTGTAAAATGAGCCAATTTTCAAAAATAGTGGAGTGTTCCTTTAAAGGTGTCCAAATGAATATCTTAGCAATGCATATTACTAATCAAAAATAAAGTTTTGCTATATTTACGGTAGGAAATGTACAAAATATCTTCATGGAACATGATCTTTACTTAATATCCTAATGATTTTTGGCACAAAAAAAATGTGCATTGTTGGCTATTGCTACAAATATACCTGTGCTACTTATGACTGGTTTTGTGGTCCAGGGTCACATTTAATATTCACAAACTGATGTCTCTCATAGGTCAGGCTACAACTGCGTTATCTACGGGTGGGACCCTAAATGCACCATGAGTCAGGAGTGGATTAACACTATGAGGGTCCATCAGCTGTCTAAGGGGGCTGATCAGCCATTCTACAACGTCTTAGTGCAGGATGGGACATGTAGATATGCTGCGCAAGGTGAGTTTTTCCATTGATCCAAGATTTAAGCAATGGAAATGACTATCTAACATAGTTTTAGGTTGTGCATATACTTTTGCAGACTGGTTTATTATCACTTTCTGGTATCTGAAAACTAGGTCTTTGTCCTAATTGCTCTCAATTTCATCAGCATCAGTGAATCATTTCTTTTGGGGCAAATGGGTGAGGTCGTAATTGATTCGAGACAATTGCAGTCTTAAAATAAAAAAAGAAACCCTCACTTTCTCTTTTCGTTTGCACCATCAGCTGTCTAAGGGGGCTGATCAGCCATTCTACAACGTCTTAGTGCAGGATGGGACATGTAGATATGCTGCGCAAGGTGAGTTTTTCCATTGATCCAAGATTTAAGCAATGGAAATGACTATCTAACATAGTTTTAGGTTGTGCATATACTTTTGCAGACTGGTTTATTATCACTTTCTGGTATCTGAAAACTAGGTCTTTGTCCTAATTGCTCTCAATTTCATCAGCATCAGTGAATCATTTCTTTTGGGGCAAATGGGTGAGGTCGTAATTGATTCGAGACAATTGCAGTCTTAAAATAAAAAAAGAAACCCTCACTTTCTCTTTTCGTTTGCAGAGAATCTGGAGCCTCACTCCGCCCCGCTGGAGATCGCTCACCCTGAGGTCGGCCGCTACTTCACCGAGTTCTCTGACACACACTACATCGCTAATGAAGAGCTCCAGGCGCGTTACCCAGAGGACATGTGCAAGACCCACAGGACTGTAGAGGAGCTCTACCACGGTCTCAACCCCAACTCAGGGCAGTCACCGGAGCCCACCGCCAACTTCCAGGACCACGATTTGTTAGATCCGTAGAGAAGAATGCCACCTCCTTGCCTCCCTCCCCACTATAGATGCGTAATGTCATTCACTTTCTCCTGAACTGTTACAACTGTTAAGGGACTGGAGTTAAGGGACAAGTTAAAGGAATAGTTCACCCAAAAATGAAAATTTGCTGAACATTTACTTCCAAGATGTAGATGAGTTTGTTTCTTCATCAGAACAGATT